TAATTTTTTTAATTTCTAAAGTATTCACTCTACGGTTACGATATTCAAAATGGTCGTAGATTTAGCTAAAAAAATGACACTGAAAAAGGTTTGATTAAAAAAACAAAATGGCGGCCGAGATATTTCACCTGGAAATTTGGCATTTTTCGACCTCTGTTCGGGCAATCGTCGATTGTTTTTGTGGTGGGTTTGGAGGGGGGATTTTTACGCCGGCGACTCGGAAATATAGTCGATTTTCACGTATGGGGAGTTTTCGCTTGCGCGTCAATATGGCGGCGGCGGTGGCGGCCATTTTGTTTCGGCAATGAAAAATCGCCATTTTCCAGTGAGATTTTCTCCAAGATGGCGGCGTCGGACGGATTCGCGTTCTATGGGCCGGTCGTGGGGCTCGGTAGGATCTTTCTACTTCACTACCGATTTCTACCATTTTCGTGGTAGTTTAGGAGATTTTGGGAGAAAAGTGAAATTTCGAAATACGCACTTTTCGCGGAAAACAGACTCGAGTGCGGTGTGGTGCCGGGGGAGCCCTATGACTTTTGGTAGTTTTCGTTTCTGCGAGCTGACAACCCTGGGCTCCACGGTAGAAAACGTGTTTTTCGACATGCCCTCATAACCCGAATTGTTTGGGAACCTGGGTGGCCAGCGGAGAAAATCTGTGAATGAGGTCCCTTGCCTGATATAGTCGTGACTATGGGAAAATTATGAAACTCGGGAAAATCAATATGGCGGCGCCGGCAGCGGCCATTTTGTGATTTTTTCACTTTTTCGAAAAATTCAAACGCACTTTTAGCACACATGGCAACATCGGAGCTCTTCGCCTGGTATGGACTGGTCGTGAGTCTCCGCTGGCTCTTTCGAATGACGTGAAATTTTTCCCCGATTTTAGGGTAATTTCGGAGATTTACCCCAAAAAGGTGAAAAGTAGAAGGAGCCATTTGGGAATTTCAAAAATGCTTTTCCTCGAAGGAGGGCACTCCCCGAAATGACATTTGGCCATTTTCATCGTCGTCACCTGGCAACCCCGGCGGTTGCGGCGATTTGAAAAATTTTGCCCATTTTTTACTTTGTCGACTCTAGCGCGGTCAGTATTGCCACTAGGAAAATGGTAAAAACTGCATCGGATGCGCTATCGAGTTGGCCACACCGGTACGGAGCCGGATTTTCAAAATTCAAGATGGCGGCCAAACCAGCGGCCGTTTTATCCGGAAAATTGGGTATCGTCACCACATCGAGCCGATTTTGACGCACTTGCCGACATTTGTCAGAGTACTTCCGGGGAAACATTTTTTAGGCAAGTAACTATAGTGTTGCCAGGTGAAAAAAAATCTCGAAAATTTTTGATACTTTATGAGATTTTTGAGGAAACAATTTTTGTCGAATTTTTGATTTTTTTTGATGCAAATATTTTAATTTTGACTTTTCAAGATACCCGATGGAAAAAATAGAACGATCGACTGGCAACACTGAGAGCAAACAACGTTTAAAATTCAACCTCGATTTTGACCGACTTGGCAACCCCGCAGGTATTTGGCATGTATGGTGCGATTGTGCATCTCTATAGACTCTTTCGTATCATGGAAAAATTTTACCCGATTTTAGGGTAGTTTTTGAGATTTACCCCAAAAACTGTAAATGTCAAAGGAACAATTTTAGAACTTGAAAATTGGTATCCGACGATGGAGGGCGCAACACGAAATCACATTTGACTGTTTTCATCGTCTACACCTGGCAACCCCGGCAGCTACGGCGGTTTGAAAGTTCAATGCCCACTATTCACGTTTTAGAGTCTAGCACAGTCATTATAGCCGCTAGGAAAATAATAAAAACTGCGTTGGATGCGCCAATAGATGGGCTACATAGGTCTGAGGTTGAAATTTCAAATTCAAGATGGCGGTTTATACAGCGACCATTTTATCTAGAAAATTGATAATTTTTCATAATTTTCACTTTATAGAGCTGATTTTGGCGTTTTTGGTAACATTTTAAAGAATACTTTTAACAAAAATATGTATTCAGCTGAAGTGTTGCCAGATGAAAACAAAAAATTGTAAAATTTTTGATACCGAGATTTTTGAGAAACTTTAATGTATGTCGTTGATAAAAAATATTAAAATATTTTTTTACAATGATTTTACTGTTTAATAAAATTTTTACTGTTGCATTTATAACATAATTGATGGAATAATTTGAGTTCTAGCAACATTGATAGTAGTCACCATATTAATTTCAGAATTATTCTGACCGAGCTGGCGACTCGGAAGCTTTGCATATATAGACCGTTTGTTTATCTTTACTCAATCTTTATGTGGTGAGAAAAAAAATCCAATATTTTCACAAGAAAAATAAAGCGAGCGAGACATTGTCATTCGGTTAGATTAGAACTGTGACTAAAACAAAAAGCGAGCGAAGCGAGCCATAAAGAGTGACCAATTAGAGAGATTTGATTAATTGGTAAGGTAAGAACTGTGACTAAAATAAAATGCGAGCGAAGCGAGCCATAAAGAACACCACCAATAGAAATCTGATCAATCAGTTACATTAGAACTGTGAATAAAACAAAAAGCGAGCGAAGCGAGCCATAATAAATGGAGACCTGGTCAATCGTTCAAGGGACTGTGACCAAAATAAAGAGCGAGCGAAGCGAGCCATTAAGAGTAACTATCAAGAGAGATTTGGTTAATTGGTAAAGTTAGAACTGTGACTAAAAAAAATGCGAGCGAAGCGAGCCATAAAGAACACCATCAATAGAGGCCTGGTCAATCAGTTAGATTAGAACTGTCAAAAAAACAAAGAGCGAGCGAAGCGAGCCATAATAAATGGAGACCTGGTCAATTGCTTAAAATACTATGACCAAAATAAAGAGCGAGCGAAGCGAGCCATAATGCTAGACCATTAAGAGAGACCTGATCGATCGATTATGTTAGCAACGTGTCTAAAACAAAAAGCGAGCGAAGCGAGCCATAAGGAGTAACTTTTAAGAGAGATTTGGTTAATTGGTAGGGTTAGAACTATGACTAAAATAAAATGCGAGCGAAGCGAGCCATAAAGGACACCATCAATAGAGACCTGGTCAATCGGTTAGATTAGATCTGCGAAAAAAACAAAAAGAAAAAGCGAGCGAAGCGAGCCATAATAAATGGAGACCTGGTCAATCGGTTAAGGAACTGTGACCAAATGTGCTTATAAGTGTGCTATTAAGGTCTGAAATTGAAATTTCAAAATTCAAGATGGCGGCTAAGACAGCGACCATTTATCTAGAAAATGTATCATTTTCTAGAAAATGTATCATTTTTACTTTCATCATCATCATCATCATCATCAGCCCTTTTACGTCCCCACTGCAGGGGCTCAGGCCTTCCTTATGGATGGTTAAGGAGGATGGGCCATGACCCTCCACGCTGGCCCAATGCGGATTGGAGGGTATTAACGACTGCAAATGCAGCCGGGACCAACGGCTTAACGTGCCTTCCGAAGCACGGAGTAGCTCGAGATAATAATTTTTTGGTCACCCATCCCGTGACCGACCCTTGTGAAAGTTGCTTTACGACTACGATCACGGGCCGCGGCGCTAATCCACTACGCCACCGAGCTACGCTACATTTTTACTTTATAGAGCTAATATTGGCGTTATTGATAACATTTTTCAGATTACTTACAGAAAAAAAAATTCAGTTGAAGTGTTGCCGGATGATAAAAAACAGTTTTTTTTTGAAACTGTGATTTTTAGGAAATTTTCTATTGAATACGAATAAAAGACTACAAGGCCATGTATACAACATTTATTTTAAGTTTTCTTACGTTTTCCAACTGAATACTTCTTTTTATATTGCGTGTAAACTAGCAATCTTTTTTTTATGTATGATGTTTTGCGTAATTAAAGATCTTTTATTTGAAGATAGACCTTACTAACTTTTTCTAGGCAATTTTATACTGTAAACCCAACATAACAAGAGGCGGTCTTAAAACTCCAATTTCCAAATTTTATTTTTGTTTTGCTTGCGTTTTTCAACTGAATGTTTCTTTTTCTATTTAGTGTAAACTGGCAACCCTTTTTCTTTGACGTATGGAGCTTTGTATACTTAAACATATTTCATTTGAAGATAGAACTCACTAACTTTTTCTAGGCAATTTCAAACTGTAAACATAACAAGAGGCGGACCTAAAATCCCACCGCTCCGATTCCACAAGCGACTCGTTTATGCTCAAGAACTTTACAATAAGTAAAGCAACAAAAACTTCTATAGGTTTATTATGACATATGGGTTAGGTTAGGTTAGTGTATGAAAAACAGCGCACGAGCCGAGCGAGCGTAGCGAGCGTGCCGCGGCAGCGGCCGGCGAAGTGCCAGAAACGAATCGCTTTTTTTGATGGTAACATTTGGTTTATAATGTTTGACTTGACAATTCGGGATCTTTATAGCGTGTATATATGGACCATTTGTGTAGGTATCTTACCCACACTTTCACATAGGTAAGTATGGAGAAAAAAAATTCAAATTTTTGATACCAACGATATTTAATGCGTAAAATATATTTTTCTATACTTTTAGATTATTGAGAAAACATGTTCTTTTGATATTCAAAATGAAAGTGTTCTACGTAGGTATGAGTTTGAAATTTGACATTTCTTTATTTGGTGTATTATTTAAGGTAACACTGGGCGAAATATCTACTCGATCCTTTTTTATACTAAATATAAACTCACTATTGAATAAGAATAAGAGACTATAATTTATTTAGAGTTTTGCTTGCATTTTTTGACTGAATATTTCTTTTTCTACTAAGCGTAAACTGGCAACCCTTTTTATTTGATGTATGGTGCTTAAACACCTTTCATTTGAAGATAGAACTTACTAACTTTTTGTAGAATTTCATACTGTAAACCCAACATGATAAAAAAACGAAAAATATTAAAATCCGCTTCCGAGGCGGACTTAAAACCCCACCGCTCCGATTCCACCAGCTACTCGTTACCTCCCCGGGCTGCTCGCAGCCCGGGGCAACCAAGCGAAAGCTATGGTTTCCAAGAAATTAGGGAGAGAAATCAAGAATTGTGGACTGTTCATCTCTCAGAAACATCCAATGATAGCTGGTTCTCCTGATGGAATATGTGGAGATTGTATTGTGGAGGTAAAATGTCCAATAAGTAACAAAACTTATCTTAATTATTGTATATAAATAATGGAAAACCCAGCAAGAAATGTTATGCCCAGATACAAATGCAAATGCATCTAAGTGGTCTAAAAAACTGCTACTTCTGTGTTGCAGACCCAAAATTCTCTATTAATGAAAATGTTGAGATTCTATTTATATCTTTAGATGAACATTTTATGTCAAGCTTTCTTGAAAGTGTTATTTCATTTTGGAAATCCCGTGTATATCCCATATTATATAAAAGTATAGAATAGAAAATAAAAAGGCAAAAATTTCATGTGTGTTTTATTTAATAAGAGAATCTTGTATACCGGCTGCATTTAAAATGACTCTCCAAATTTTTTCTAGGCATTAGGTATCGTTAATAGATCACATATATGAAAAAAAAAACGGTATGTAAAATTTTCAAAATGAAATGTAAACTTGTTGCAATTACAAGATAATTATAACATTCGCATTGTCACATTAGTTATGAATAAAACAAGGCAGCAGGGGTAGCAAGGGCGCGGGCGCAGGGGATGTACGCGCATGCGCCAACAACAATGTCTGCTCGGTTTTTTATTTTGTCGGCGCACATCAGTCGCTTCCGCCTTTGCTTCCGTGTTGCGCACCGCCCGTCGCAGCGCCACATTTCGCGCGTCGTAATGTATTCCAATCGCGAATATTATGAAATGGTGCAGTGATCACCATGTATGTAAATACATGGTGATCTACGTGACGCGGAGGCCCCATCGTGTGGCCTGCGCGATCGCCGGACCTTCCACAGTGTGACTTTTATTTGTGGGGCGAAATTAAAAGACGTGTGTATGTTGAGGAAGCACAAAGCCTCGAGGATTTAAAAGTGCAAATCAGAGCGGCATTTCACCAAGTGAAAAATGACACGGTAGTGCTCGCAAAATTAAAAGACAATGTGCAGAAAAGGTGCAAGACTCTGTTTGGAGAGGAACGGTATGTACTTTGAACAATTATTAAAGTATACGTAGGTAAATAGTTAAAGTAGGTAGGTAAATTGATTAGTTGATTATGTACATAAAGTTGATGATTTTTTAAATACGCCTGATTGCAAAAGAATAGCGAATTAAGTACCTACTTTGAATTGGTTTAACTAAACAGAATTTCAGGTAACTCGATATTTACTTACCTACTTACTTTATAAATTTAAAGCAGTATAGCTATTGTAATAGTAGGTATCTAATAGGATTTATGCAATTTGACGGTCCTAAGCCCGTAAAAGTATGAAGAGGTTTCAACTTTATTTATCATTTCCCCAAGCATGACAAAACGAAAACATTTTAGGTAGCTGCTATTATTACTATCAATGAATTGCGGCAAGGGAGGGAGGGGTAAGTGTAACGTAGCGCGTAAAGCGCATGTACTGGGCAGCGAGAGCGTCCACAAATGTAGGTTTTTTGAAAATAACTTGGTGACGATATAACGCAACATTTTTGTTCTAAACGACATAAAAAGAAAAAACACGTATTTCATTATTTGTCGTAAAGATTAACATACTCAAATTTGGAGAGTGGTTTTAATTGCTTGCTGTATTTATCAAACCACAAGCTATAGTAATCACATCATCAATAACTTTAACCAAACTTAAATTAAGACAGGCATGCGGTTTTAACATGTTAAATTCACGTAACCGTCTTTATTACCCGCTCAACATGGATTCGTAAGCTAGCTATTTGTTTTGTTTCTTTTGCTTGGGCTTTTGATAACTTCTCTCCAATTATAACACTTGGAGGTCGTACTAACAGCACACCCAATTTTCTTAAATACACGTCCACATGCTTAAATCCTCTATCTGCCATGACCCACATATTAGGTTGTAAACAATTTGCAAAATTAGATGTTTCAACAATGCACGTGTCTGTTATTCGGCCTCCATAACCATTTGAAATAAAGTTTATTAAACCATTAGGTGTACAAGATACAAGGTACTTAATTGTGTTGGCTTTCTTGTAATCAGACCAGGAAAGAGCTTGATTTAAGGCCTTTGAAGGCTTTTGTATTTCTATCTCCAAACAGTCTATTATACAAGTCAACTTATTGTATTTGTGCCTAAAAGCCATGGGTAAATTATTTTTTATCAAGTTCTTATCTAATGATATAATAAAAGGACGCATTACACTTGCTATTACAGGTATGTTTTAAAAAAAAACTTTGCTTGGATAAGTTCTATCAATGCCAAAGTCATCAGCAAGTTCACGGAATGAATTGTTTAATCTAATTTTTTTTAGACATAGTAAAATATGATTAAATGGTATATTTGTCTCTTCTTGAATCAAGTTAACTAAATAATAACAACTTAAAGGAATACCAATGTAAGAACGGGGATTTCTTTTTATTTTATTCAAGGTACACTCTAAAGAGTTAAATCTTTCTCTCTGTTTCTCAACCTCTATCATCTCACTACAATCCGAAGTAGATTCCATTTGAAGAGATTTTATGGATATTGATTCTTCTGTGTGAGTCACAGAGGGAGTATATGAAGTATCATTATCTGATCGTTCAATTGTTTTAACTGTCTTTTTTAAAACATTTACACTTTGTCTTGATGGTTGGCTATTACCACCATGCTTGATTTTAAATGGTGATGTAGATACAGAATGTAGAAACGGCTTCAATGGTGATGTCATCTGATTTACCAAACTGACTTTTGCTTGATTAGCTTTACTTCTAAATGTTTTACTTATGTAAACTTGAATAGATTTATCCAATCGTCGTGGGGTTAATTGGGGAATTTCCTCAACATTCTGCTGAACTGTAAAAGAATGTTTTGTTATTCACATTTAATGTTATGGTTAAAAATGTAAATAAGAGATAACTAAGTCACAGAAAAAGTGAATCAGGTAGTTATGAGTGTACTAAAAATGTATAAATTATTATGTAATAAATGTAAATATAAGATTAGCTTTTGCAACTCTTTAATCTAATAAATATGTATACCTGAACTACTGGATGCCATATTTTCAGAGCTTGATTCTTCTGTAAACATACTTTCTTCTGCAAAATGTTTTTCACACTCTTGAATAGTCATCAACCTTCGTTTCTTAGCCATATACGGTCGGTCTTTTGTGTCAGATGTCCGTGTTTTTCTGTCTGGTTGACATAAAAAATTTTTTGGCATACATCCTGGTTTCTTATGCACTTGTGATACGGACCCCATTATATGATACTCCATATAGTTTTCCATGTCATTTGGCAACTGGAAAAAGTAAAGTGAGCAATCAATATTGATAATATCAAGTAATACCATTGAGCTAATACTACATGAGTAATACCAAGAACAAAACAAACATAACCTCTTTAAATTAGTGATTTCATCTCAGTATTTCAACTGTATACACTTAAAAAAGTTTTTAAATGGATTAATTTAAAATAAATACTCCATATACTCACATCAAAGTGGTCTTCACAAAAATAAAGTGGCGAATTCGTGACTACATCGTTTGGGTTTCGCCGGGCGAGTTTTAACCACTTATCTCTTATCATTTTCTTGTTTGGAAAATGTACAAACACCTTGTTGGGTGTAGATATCGATGTGTTTTTACATTGAGGTACTGCACACCACTTATACACTTTCGAATTCATTTTTATCACGAATGTTGTATACGCGCATACACATTGACTGGTCGTTTACCTAAGCGTGACGTCAGAGAGGACGCCATGACATCTGCGAGCATTTCCGCGCGCTACCGAATAAATTTAAAAAAATTGTTTTGTATTTCGTAAAATTCTAGTTTATTGCTGAAATAAAGTTTTTTTTTGTAAATAGTAAACGTTTACCCCCATTATAGAAGAGGATTTCAAAATCTTTCGTCATGCCTATTAAACACAATCCAGGCATTAATTGGTGCCGTACCGAATAATAGTTCCATTAAAACTTTTCTCCACCATTTGATTCCTCTTTTTAACGTAGTATAATAAGAAGACATCTGGTCAGAAAAGTCAATTCCTTTTTTTGTTTTATTGTACAGCAGAACACATCCTGGTTTTTTTATGCATTCTTCGGTTCCTCTCTTCTTTTTTCCAGTATCTATCAGGTTATCATTGTGGTCTTTGCATGTAGTTAACATCAAAACGTTCCTTTTATCCATCCATTTCATTACCTTTACACCCTTTTTATTCATCTTCCCAATATTTTCGCCTTTCTTTAATTTGTAACTAGTGACTTTCTTAAACAGATATTTCCGTATTTTATTAAGTGTTCCGCATAAAAATGTTTTTTGTGACAGAAGATCTTCTGCCAGGCCCAACGAGGTGTAGTAATTGTCTACTATTACGATTCTTCCGACTTCTGTTAGATTTGTCATCAATCTTAACACTACTTTTTTACTGTGTTCAAATTCTTTTTCTGATATTTTTTCCCTGTATAAACCTCTAACTCATAAGTGTAACCTTTGGGAGTGCAAAGCTTATAAAGCTTTACGCCGTACCGGTGTGATTTATTTTTTATATACTGGCGAAATCCTAGTCTTCCTCTCCATGGTATCATAGTTTCATCGATTACCACATATTTTCCAGGATTTGCAATACGTCGAAAATTTTCTGTAATCTTCGTGAACATTACTCTAATTTTATATAATTTGTCAGTTTTGTCATCATTACTTACATCACTGGCATGCCAGCATTTTAGTAATAGTAAAAATCTATCTCTTGTCATTGCTGAACAAATAAATTCGTTCCGATACAATTTGTTTCTGCTCCAGTAAAAATTTAAATTAGGGACTTTACACAAACCCATTGCCATTAAAATTGCGAAAAATGATTTTATTTCCTGGAACTGGTGTCAGTCCATTTTTTCATGCGTGCATTACGCTTCATATTTTGTTGATTTATTTGTGTAAATTTTTGTGCGTAAGCATTAGTTTCAGATACCATTATATCAATCATCTTATCTGTGACAAACATCTTGTATATATCTTCAGGTGTATCTACAGACGGGGGTAAATTAAAAGTACATTCTCCATCGAATTCATTAAAAGTTATGGGACTTTCTGATATATTTTCCCACTCACTGTCATCGTCATCGTTAGCTTGCGTGCCGGGTAATATTTCTTCCCTGATTATAATCTCATCTTTTATACATTCTACTTCATAATTATCACTATCTGAAGATAATGCCTGACTTGAATGTATGCAATTTTCCATTGAATCATACTCTTCCAAATCACTAGACTCCGAATCTGAAGGAGAAAAAGGGTATTAGTCCGATTTTATCGAAAATGAGTTAAGTATACCAAAATGTTCACAAAAAAATGATATATCAATTCGTGAAAACAGATCTCGCTTATCTTTAAAAATAAGGAAGTTAGCAATATACAAAAGGGGTGAACTAACACTAAAAATATTGCAGAAGTGGGGTATAAGTGCACTCTAATTTCTTTACACAGAACTATGTTTTTTTTAATTATGTGTCTTTTTATCTAAATAAACATATATTGTCAGAGCTTCAATTCATTTGGTGAATACCGGCACAAGTACATTTGTTCCTTAAAAATTGTTAAGTGAGTAACGATATTACTTAACATAAATCCGTTTTCACTAAAATAAAAGATAAAAATTCAGAATAAGTCTTTTGATATCAGCTTTCACGTATGAAATATTTATATGAACAAATGCAATTTGAAATAACTAAAATTATACCAAAAAGTCGCTGCCATTTTTCGTGAGAAAAGATACAACTGGCCGATACGGAGTACGGTGCGGGTGGGTGCGGAGCGCGCAGCGCCCGCGCTCAATCAGTCGTCCACGCACTCTATTGAGGGAAACCTGTGTCGACGCACTGCAGAAAATCGGTGATTGCGCAGGTAAGTTGTACCCTTTTTCACATATTTTAGTAAATTAATTTAGAGTGTACGTGTTGTTATTTAGATTTTTGTCTAAATGTACCCTTTTACACCGAGTTTTTATTTTAAAACTTCATTACATAATTATTATGAAGAGGAGATATTGATTTTTTATTATATTTTTGTATGTATGTTAGTAAAGTCTTGACATAAAAACAGTACAATAACAATGGTTATAGTGAATCAACCTCACAGACATATTTAACTACACTTTATAGTATAATTATTTAATTATAGATATATAAGGTGTAACAAAATTAACTGCAAATATTTTGAGTGGTTATTGTACTCTTCATTATATCGCGGTTCCCTGATGTAATGTTTTAATAAATATATCTATTGTTTTAGAATGGCTGGTCGAAGTCGCATTAATCGTTTGATAGGTCTTGTTTCCAAAGATATGGCAATGATGGATGGAGTGGATTGGATTGATGACGAATCTATAACTGTACCTGTATCTTGCGAAAACTATTCTCCAAAGGCTATACATTCCAGAGATCATTCTCCAAGACCAGGATGTTCAAACAGTTATTCTTCAATGCCGGGAAACTCTAAACAATTTTCTACAATACCTGGATGTTCCAAAAACCTTTTCTCAGAGCCTGACAATGATGTCGATATATTCACTGATTCTGATGAAACGTTTCTCGTATGTCTTGATATTGTTTCTATGTTATTTGATTCGCTACCATACCCTAATTTGGATTATTCTACAGATAGTAGTGACGATTTCATCCCAAATACATCTGGCACAAGTAGCTCAGATTGTTCAGTTTTACAAAAGCGCACAAGACGTAATAGTAATTTCATTATTCCAGAGTCAGATTCAGATACGAGCAATAATAAGTCATTTTGGGATAAAGAAGGTATTAAACAAGGCCGGAAACATAAGCCTAGGAAAAGTATCAAGGAAAGAAGAGTAGATAGAGAAACTAGAAAAAAGAAGAGAAATCTAGGAAAGAGTTACGAGACAGGAAAAGGTAAAAAAGTAGAACAAAGGAAAATCAAAGGTCTGGGATCTTGTAGAATGAAATGTGCTGAAAGAATTCCTGAAGAATTTAGAAATAAGATTCATAATTATTACTGGAGCTTAGGAGACTACGACCGACGAGTTTTGTTCATAAGTAACCTTATAGATGTAAAGGGAAAAGCATCGACAAAACTTGCAGCTACAGTTAAAAACAGACATTTTACTAATAACTACTGCCTAAAGCTTCATTTAGAGTGTCATCGTATATGTAAAGGTTGTTTTTTAAAAACATTTGATGAAACCCCTAAGTTTATACAAAATGTAACTGGGAAAATTAAAGAAAGCGGTGGTATTGTGGCCAAATCTACAAGAGGAAAAAAGCCTAGCGCTTTAACCATAGACAATGAGAGGTTAGAAAATGTGAAAACACATATATTATCATTTCCAATATATGAGAGCCATTATGGTCGTTCTAAGACAAACAAAAAATTTTTGCCGCCCCATCTAACCCTGCAAGATATGTATAAATCTTACTGCGAGGATAATGAAAATCCGGTATCACTAACCATCTACTCATGGGTTTTCCGGGCCCAAAACTTATCTTTCAAAACACCATATGTTGATACGTGTGTGAAATGTGATACTTTAAATACGAAAATTAAGTTTTGTGATGGTTTAGAAAAGGAAAACACTGAAAAACTTTTGGAAGAGCATCAAAGAAGAGCAGAAACCATTTATGATCAAAAATCAAAAGACCGGGCTTGTTCTATTGAAAAGGGGGACACCGCAGTTCTATCATTCGATCTGCAGCAATGTTTGCCGACCCCATTCCTTAAAACTGGGGCTGCATTTTATAAGCGTGCATTATGGACTTACAATTTAACATTAAGGGATTGTACTCATAATAAAGTATATTGTTTTATGTGGCATGAGGGAATTGGTGGCAGAGGAGCTAATCAAATAGCTTCATGTTTATTTTATTATATTATGAATCTTGTTGCATCTAATATTAAGCATCTTATTTTTTATTCTGATTCCTGTTTTGGGCAGAATAAAAATATTTATGTTGTATGTATGTTGTTGCTTGCTTTACGTAACAATTCCAATATAGAAACAATAACACATAATTTCTTAGTACCCGGCCACACACACATGGATTGTGATGTTGATCACGCGATAATTGAAAAGGCCAAAAAACGTACCCAAATGGACATACACCACCCTCGGGATTGGTACCAGCTTGTCCGAACATGCAGCAAAAAAAAACCCGTTCGCTGTTATTGAAATGCATGCTGAATTGTTTTTTGATTTTGCTAGTTTTCTAAAAGGGCCTCTACAGCTAAAGAAAATTGATGAAAATAAGAAAAAGTTTAACCTGTCAGAATGTGCTGCTTTTAAGTATAAAAAAGGAGAGTTTCCTCAATTTCATTATAAGTTGTATGATGTGGAAGAATGGAACATTGTTAATTTGCAAAGGAAAAGAGGAAAATCACCACTCCCAAGTGTGTTTGAAACGGAATGTATTCCTAGGTCATACGATGGGCCAATAGCTATTTCAAATGAGAAAAAGCGAGATTTGATTTCTCTTCTTCCGCTAATAAACCCCAGCGTTAGATCTTTTTATAACAATCTTCTCAGTGACGATGATATAATAGATCAACATCCTCTTCTAAACGACAGCGAAGACGACATCGAATAAGATTTTCTGATCCAGTTTCAAGGTTCTATTGGACTTGATTTGTTTTTCTTTTAGGTTGTTTTTGAATTTTTTTTCCGATTAAAAAAAAATATGTCATAGGCATTTCCTAAAATACTTTTTACTTTAATAAAAAAATAAATATCATAAAATTTCATTTTTTTCATTTAGGTATAAAAATGGATACCTATAACTTACACAAAAGGTTCACGTGAGTCTACATGCGCCTTATGGCATGTCTAATAACTATGTGAAAAAGGACACAAGTTATTTTTTTGGTATTTTTTTAAATTTTATCTTGTCATTGTCATTGAAACATTCAATTAATTTTATTGAGTTACTTCAATACTATATTATATGATTTTATTTCTTAGTTATCTTATAAATAATTCCAAATGCGTATCCTTCTTCACTTAGGTAAATTATATTTTTATGTATGTGAAAAGGGGTCTAACTTCTTTTATACCCTTGAGTGGTTCGTTTCATGGTAAGTATAAGTCGCTATTTTAAAAACTATACAGATTATGTAAAAATTAATACCAGAATAAGAAAGAACATAGATTTTATACCTATATAACACCTCACATGTATTTAATTTGACAGTTGTTTAGATTCCACACGTACTTAAACATGTAATATGGTGCGCGCAGGGCGTTTTTTGCGTCTCCTGTAAAGTTGCATTTTTAGACTTATACCCCTTTTCACTAAAATCATCATCTTCCATATTATTACTCTCATCCAAATCAGGTGATTTTTGAATATTCTGTTCACTGTCACTTAATGTGTTTGTTTGTATTATATTGTTATCGCTGTCTATATGTTCAATAATATCATAGTCGACAATATCAGGTGATTGTAGAACAGTTGGCAGTTTGTTATTCATATCTCGTTTTCCTTTAACATTTTCGTCAGAAATACTTTCTATAATTACAGAAACCTCCATTTCATTACTTTTTTCAGGTTTGGACGGATTACAGTCTTCGGAATATGTAAATTTAGATGTAATATTTTGTCCATGTCCTTTTTGTGTGCGAGTATGAAGTAGTTGTTGAATGTTGTGCTCACTAAGTGATATATTATCGCAATTCATTAAATTAGAGCATGAAATATCTGACAAAGATCCAGCTCTGCTCTCCGTAGTTATATGAGGAAAATTTATTGAAGGGGAACCTACAGGATTTAGATTTTTTATTGATTGACTTGGTGTGATTGGAGCACTAGAAGGGGACAAGTGAACATTCTGCAATAATTGACAAGATTTTCCGGTCCTAGGACTGATATAAATTGTTTCTTCTTGTTTTTTGAGTTGAATAATTTCGCTATCATATTTTTTTTTCTATAACAGCCAAAAATTTGGCTAACCAGATTGCTCCTATTGAGCACTCTTTTATTGACATGACTGTCAGTAATAATCCTACTGACATTGCGACAAATTCGTTTTTAAATTAGATACTAAGACAAAAGAGGATTCCTCTTGCTTGCCATTGAATGGTCAAAGTAATAATGGAACCAAGAATGTATCAGTCATCAACCTAGTGCACCAAAATGTTCAAGGACTATTGAGTAAAGAGTTAGAAGTAGAATTATTCATGAACTGTAACAATATTGATATTTTCTGTATAACGGAACATTGGTTAACAAGTTATAATTGCATTTTTAACTTCAATAATCACCTGGTTGGTAGCGCGTTCATTAGGAAAAACGCAATGCGTGGCGGCGCACTAATTTTATTAAATAAAAAGTTTAAATTTAAAGAACGTAAAGATATAGTGAGCCTATCGGTTGAGGAAATAATAGAGATTGCCTGTATAGAGCTGGACCAGCTGATTGTACTGAGCGTATATAGACCTCCTTCAAGTTTAGTTTGTCATTATGATCTTTTTGAAACAGTTATGGATGAAGCTTTAAAAAAGGTACATAGCAAAGGCAAACGATTAGTGATTGGGGGTGATTTTAACGTTGATTTATTAGGAAACTCCAATTTATGTACAAGACTTGTAAATCTATTTATGTCCTATAATCTTGCGCACATGTTTAAGGAGCCTACTAGAGTAACTGCTACTTCGTCCACATGTATTGACAACATTTTTACAGATCTGGTACCACTTTCAAAACAGATAATTAAACAACTACCGTCAGATCATTTTGGACAAATAGTTAGTTTTCCGCATAAATGTACGTTTGTGGCTAGGAGAGACATTACAGTTGTGTCAAAAAGTATGAGTCGCTTGGAACGTTTTAAAAATCAATTAGACAATAAATTGTATCATTTGAAACATAATAGTAATCCCAATGATTTGTACAAAGATTTCTTTGATGTTTATTGTACAGAATTCAATAAGATTTTTGTCCCAAAAAATATTAGTACTAGTAATCCTATAACTTTTAGTGTGTGGGCTACACCAGGAATATACAAAAGTAGAAAAAGGCTCTATGAACTATATGATGAACGTAATTATAACACAAGTGAGGACTTCAAAGAATATGTACGAAATTACTCTAAATTATTCAAAAAAGTGTGTCGTTTAGCCAAATGTTATTATTTAAATGCAAAAATTAAAAATAGTAAAGATAAAGTTAAAATGACGTGGAATATCATAAATAGTGAAACTGGAAGAGAAAAATCCCGGAATATAAATTTTAATTTAAACATTGATAATAAAAAAGTAACATCAGATCTTGAAGTTGCTACAGTATTTGAAAATTTATTTACTGAAATTCCAGTCTTAATAACACAATCTTTGAATTCCTCTTCCACTGTTGCTGAATCTATTTTAAAGGCAAGTTTAAATAATTGTAACAGCCAATTTAAGTTTCAACACATTGATTTTAAAGATATAATAAAATCTTTTAATCAGCTAAAGAAAAAGAAAACCGCTGATTTATGGGGTAATTCCATTGAAGTTTCAAAATCGGTAATTGAGACAATAGCTCCAATCTTAGCATATATATTTAATGAATGTACTGATTGTGGTATTTTTCCAGAGCTCATGAAATATAGTAAAATTATTCCTTTACATAAATCGGGTAGCACATCTGACCCTAATAACTTTAGACCTATATCCGTGCTACCTACGTTTAGTAAGATTTTTGAAAAAATCATGCTGGATCAAATACAAACGTACTTTTACAAGAATAAGCTTATGAATCGACAACAATTTGGTTTTACAAGGGGTCGCTCGACAACCGAAGCCGGTGTCGAGTTAATACAAGAAATTTTTAATGCCTGGGAGGATTCACATGATGCGTTAGGTGTTTTCTGTGACCTATCTAAGGCATTTGATTGTGTTTTTCATGAAACATTGATTAGGAAACTGCATTTTTATGGATTTAGAGATAACTCATTGGATTTTATTGTCTCATACTTGACTGACAGAGTACAGAGGGTTGATATCAATGGCAAAAGATCCCCTGGATCGAAAATTAAGATGGGTGTTCCGCAGGGTTCAATACTTGGTCCTTTCTTGTTTTTGATTTACATAAATGACTTGCCTTATTTCGTAAGGGATGATCACGAAATAGTTTTGTTTGCGGATGACACTTCACTTTTGTTTAAAATTAAAAGAGGGTTACCTCTAAATGACGATGTGAACAATTCTACCGCTAAAGTAGTACATTGGTTTAATGTAAATAATCTTCTCCTTAATGAAGGAAAAACAAAATGCTTAAAATTTGTACTACCTAATGTTAAAAAAGTATATATAAATGTTAATATAAAAGATAAGAACATGGGCCTTGTGGATACCACAGTATTTTTAGGAATAACATTAGATTCTAAACTACAGTGGGGCCCACATATTGATAGATTGTCGAGTAGACTTAGCTCTGCAGCATATGCCGTTATGAAAATACGTAGGTTAACTGACATAGATACTGCCAGATTAGTATACTTCAGTTACTTTCATAGTGTAATGTCGTACGGACTCCTATTGTGGGGAAATGCTGCCGACATACAAACAATTTTTGTGCTTCAGAAAAGAGCAATTAGATCAATTTATAATCTTAGGATTAGGGACTCTTTAAGGGAGAAATTTAAGGAAATAGACATTATGACTGTTGCTTCTCAATACATATACGAGAACTTAATGTACGTTCGTAAAAATATTAGTTTGTTTTCTATAAAAAGTGATGTACACAATTTTAATACAAGAAATAAAAATAAATTAACGGTGCCTGTCACTAGACTGCAAAAAGTTAATAACTCATTCAAGGGTCTTTGTGTGCGCTTCTACAATAAGGTCCCAAGCAAAATACAACAATTAGATATCATGCAGTTTAAATCTACTATTAAAAAAATACTTATTAAAAAGCTTATTATAAGGTATCCGATTATGTAACAGATAAGAACGCTTGGACTTGAGATGATCCAGCAACTGGATAGGTGATTACTTCTAAACTCATTATCTTGTTTCCATTATTATTAAATGATTATGTTATCATTATAAGACCATATTTATTTATTTTTTCTCTATCTCTGTTTATAATGTATAGATCTGGTAATGACATGGTTTTTGTAAATGTCATTACTCTTATTAGAGCTGGTGAGTTTCTTGCTCGTTCTTCTTATCGGCCAAAAGACGTCCTGAAC